GAAATGATGTTAAATTTGTTTTATGAAATGATGTTTAATTCATGATTTTACTAATGACCGGTCATAAGTATTTACCAATGACCAGTCATTAGTAAAATTACGTGTTAGGCAAAACAAATGCCTGCTCACGTGTACGCTCTCGACCAATCATTTGATAATGATCCGCTTCATCATCTTATGACACTTTATATTGACTTGGTGTATTGACATGACTTGGATTTGTAGAAGAAAACAAAATATTTCAGATTTTGAAAATATTGTAATTTTGTTGAAAAAAGCAAGATATTTCACACACACACACACACACACACAAAATTATTATCATTTTTTTTTTAAACTTTTTTTTTTTACTGTATGCCTAAAAGGTCGTCCAATATCTTTGAATATAAAGTAAAAACCACCGAGGAATCGTCAGGGTATTATTTACCTTCTGTACAAGGAAATACTCTCTTCAAGGCTTTGTCTGGTAGCATCTCGAGTTCATGTTCCTTGAATTCACATGATATCTTTACTTGTGTTTATAACAAAGCGGATAACATTCAAACTGGCATCTTTTCCAGTCTTTTCTATTTCCTGAATAACTATAATAATCTGACTTACGGGCATAGAACAAATAAGCATTATTGCATGAAAAAGTGAAGTTTTCTAAAAAAAAGTGCGTTTCTTTCCAGCATTGGGGTGCTCGGGAGGCACTTGGGTAACCTTTAAAAAAATACAAAATAAAAAAAATAATATGCAATTTCTCTGTATTTTTGTCGGAAAAAAACATACAAATCCAGCACAATGTCGTCTCTTTTTGCATTGGAGAAGAGCAAAAATAGCTAGTTTCCACCCGCCCCCCCCCCCCCTCAGTGTTATTTAAGGTACGCATATGCGTGTTCCTAGCACCCCCTCCCCTTTTCAGCATAAGTCCGGTGTGTAAAGTCAATACGGGTAAACCTTTTTCTTTCGTTACGGGCCGGAGATTTTGAGAACACGTATGCGGTCCCTCTGTTCCCGGAGGTGTGTGTGTGTGTGGGGGGGGGGGGCGGCGGTGGGAGTTTCCATCACACTTCGGCCGGTCTCACAAGCTCTCACTCGTTCCATTGTGGTCAGGCGGTTTTGGGGTTAGTGGCTAATGAATGTACTTATCGTTAGCTTTCTCCTGGTATTAAACTTGTTTTAATTGATTGTATATTTTTGTCGGAATAAAGGAAACCTAAGAGCTTGACAAATATCCCTCAGCGTCGGTCCCGGATGCACGCGCAAATAAACAGGTTCTAATGACGTCATCATCGCTAAATTGGCGTATTGTATCGTAATACGCTACACTTTCACAACGTTTAATTATCAATAAAAAATAATTTTTTTTTGTTTATACCACTGAAGTTTGGGGTACAATTTCATGAGTAAATTTTAAATAAGAGCCATTTTACTGTTTTGATTTACTGTATTGTACCATTAAAGTCGCAGGGTAGAAAGATGCATTATCCAACCGTGCCAAATGTCATTTACGTACAGACATTCTGCTAAATGAGTTCGTGTTGTTTTTAAAGAATCCACTGCTTTCTGCTCCACTAAACGTCCATGTGGAGTCGTTTATCAACTAAGTGTATTCAAATTATGGAGTCTTCCTTCCCAGGTGTTTGCGGTGTTGAACTACTTGCACGATGAAGCCAGTTTGTGGTCAACTTCTTTTATGAGACAAATCTAAGCAAACGTTTCCATATGATGTTATCTATATAAAATATGAAACCATATCATTAATGATTTATGTTTGCCTGACTGGTATACACATGAACTTTAACATTCATGTGTCAAATATCCGTATGGCTAATAGGGCTCCTATATCTTTGAATATGAAGTAAAACCACCGACGAATCTTCAGGGCATTATTTACTTTGTGTACAAGGAAATACTCACTTTCTTCGAGTTTTTGTCTGGAAGCATCTCGAGTTCATGTTCCAGTAATTCACATAATATCTTTATTTGTGTTTAGAACAAAGCGGATAACATTCAAACTGATATCTTTACTAGTCTTTCCCATTTCCTGAATAACTATGTGATCTATATAAAATATGAAACCATATCGTTATTGATTTATGTTTGCCTGACTGGTATACACATGAACTTTAACATTCATGTGTCAAATATCCGTATGGCTAATAGGGCTCCAATATCTTTGAATATGAAGTAAAACCACCTACGAATCTTCAGGGCATTATTTACTTTGTGTACAAGGAAATACTCACTTTCTTCGAGTTTTTGTCTGGAAGCATCTCGAGTTCATGTTCCAGGAATTCACATGGTATCTTTATTTGTGTTTAGAACAAAGCGGATAACATTCAAACTGATATCTTTTCCAGTCTTTTCCATTTCCTGAATAACTATGTGATCTATATAAAATATGAAACCATATCATCTTAATGTTTACCTGCCTGGTATTTCCTTTAACATTCATTTGTTGGATAACCGTAAGGCTAATAGGGGTCCAATATCTTTGAATATGAAGTAAAACCACTGGGAATCGTCAGGGCATTATTTACCTTGTGTACAAGGAAATACTCACTTTATTCATGTCTTTGTCTGGAAGTATGTAGAGTACAGCTGACATGCGATGCTCCACTGGCATACTTTAACATTTACTTCATAGCAAAGGGCAATTCCACACGGGATATTTTGACAGAATTTAACCCATGATCAAGGTTCTCTTCTTTTCCCACTTCCCACAGATAATGCATTCATCTTTTGAGCAGAACCACATTTTACATTAACTGTATTGTTTGAAGCTGTGGAAATTCAGTAGGATGTCTGTTTGGAAGACGAAACACAAAATAAGTCAAATTTGTATATTCTTTTGGATTTCTGAGGACCAAAAATATATGTTTAACATTGTCGTAAGATAACAAGTGTATCCCCAGACCCTGTAATGATTATGCCACTTTAGAATATAACACTAATCTGTACTACACAAAAAAAGTTTATCGAAAAATTAAACTGCCCATGTTGCATTGCCCATCTATAGGGCATACAACGTTGTGTATCGCTGTTATCAACTTGGACACGCCACTTGTCTCCCACTTTCTCTATCTCCCTCTCTTCCAATGTACCTGTCTGTCTGTCTGTCTCTCTCTATCATACACACACTTTCCTTCCAGCTATTTCTCTCCATATCAGGCTTCCAGCTATAGTTTTCCAAGAACAACAGGTTCATAATACGACCTATATTAATGATATATTGACTGCTATGATAGGCATAGCTGTTTCTATAGGCTCAAGGGAACGTTAAATCCTGCTACGACCCCGTGGCGCGCCGAGGGGTTATAGCAGGATGTTACGTCCCCGAGAGCCACAATAAAAACATCTATGCCTCGAATATTAAAGCAGTCCATAAATCTTTTATATACCGAATTCACAAACAAATCTACAAAGAATTCTTGCCTATCCTTTTTTTGAGTAAAGATTGGTTAAAACATTAGAGAAAATCTGAGAAACTGTCTGTTAATCTTTGCTGGAAAGTTAACTGATTGATACGATCATTCGAAAATCGCACACATAATGTGGCCAGAATTCACAAAGGAGGTTTGTCGACAAACCTAGGTTTATGTGCGTCATATGACGCGTTTTGACGCGTTTTTACAAACCAAAGTTTAACGCGTCATATGACGCACATAAACCTAGGTTTGTCGACAAACCTCCTTTGTGAATTCGGGCCTATATGATTTCCGCGCTCGAACAAAGAAACTTTTTACACGTAAACCAAACGGGAGCTCAGCAAAATTTAACTATGCTGCCCGTTACCCGGGCAACGGGCAGTTGTTCGTTTCTTTATGGGCATGGCTAAAATCACGACTCCAATATTGTGACCAATCAGATGGCTAGATATATTCAACATACTAAAGAGAGGTATATAACAAATCATATTCCCGGGTTTACTCGTGACATTGGCATTGGCCTGGGCTCCATCCAAGCAATATTAGTCGTTGGCACTATCATTATCTCAGCATATCTTGTAAACGTCTGCACTCTGTACAATTTTGGAACCTAGCTGGTGTCTTCCTGTGTAACCAAAGGATTATTATATATGTACTCTTGACGGATGATCGCTAAAGAAGAAGGCAGAAGGCACAAATACTATTACTATAGCCCAAACCAATTCTGTTGAGGAGAGTAATACGTACATCATGACGTGGGAGATAATTTTCCAATTATCCATCCTCCTGTTATGTTCACTTGTCATGGTGTCCCCGAGCCAGGAGATCCGGGCACATGACGAACACGGAATTACAAGCGTAGCAGGTCACGTTAACGGTACTCTTAAGAGCTATGCTTGTTATGTGGATTTCCTGGAGAAAATTGCCGATTGCAAAAATAGGCAGCTGAAAGACGTACCCAATAACCTCATCAATGATCTTCGTTCGCTTGATCTGTCGTCAAACCTCATCCGAAGCCTCCGGAATACTTCATTCCTCATGTACTCTCTCTTGGAGAAGTTGAACTTGTATAACAATCTCATCGGCTTTATCGATTTAGCAACTTTCTTTCCTGTTGACCAACTGACCAGCTTGTCTCTAGACCATAACCCCATTTTCAACCTAACCGATATCTTTCAGGAGTCCAAACGGTTGTCGAGTCTGTCCCTTCAATTCTGCAATTTATCATACTTCCCGAATGAGACCCTCGGATTCTTACCTCAGCTACAAAGCCTTGATTTAAGGGGGAATGAACTAACGTATATAAATATTTCGAAGTGCCCCAAAAGAACACTGACTAAGCTAGACTTCTCTTCTAACAAATTTCAAGAAATATCAGCTGATGTTCTAAATTTCCCTTGCAGGACAGAACTTCTTTATCTCGGTGGGATTAGTTTCATGAAAATTGATGCAGATGTTGTTGCTGATTTTCCCATTCTTGCTTTGGTATTTGAGTTTCTATTACCGGGGCCAGGGCAAACATTGCAAGTATGGAAGAATTTGTTTACGGGTATCGTTCAATCTGAGATAGATGAACTGGGTCTGCTGATGGCAATCACAGACGTTCCTCGTGACTTTTTTGATCCATTTCGTGGTAAAAGGCTTTCTTACCTACTGCTGCAACAAAACGAGTTCAAGTGTTACCCGTCCATCTTTGCTAATCTAACATCCGTTTATGAGATGGTGCTAGAGACATTTCATATAGGAGTTCTGGAGCCTGCTTTCTTTGATGGCATGAAGGAACTTCGAAGCCTTACAGCTAGTAACACAAAGTTAGAGCAAATCAATCCTTCGGGGTCATCATGGAAGATTGATCTTCGGGAACTGGATTTGTCAGAGAACAACCTTCAGATGTTGAGTCCATTTGCCTTCAAGGGTCTGGCAAATCTTACATTCTTGGACCTGACTTACAACGCTCAATTAATGATTATACCAACTACATCTCTATCAGGACTTGACAACTTACGAACGTTAAATGTATCCCGTACCAGAATCGCACAAATGACCTTATGTACTCCACTTCTCGAAACATTCGTTTTCATCATTAGACCCTACGACTGGTGGCGGTCTCTATCTGCCTTAATTCCAGGTAAAACATTTCAGTCCACGCCATATCTTAACAGCATCGACTTAGCTTACTCGCATGTGATATTGAGAGAGCTGTGGGATTCATCTGAGAATATATCTCTGTTTCAAGGACTTCACAATTTAAGGTATCTCGGACTGAAACAAAACAATATCGGAATTTTACCGTCTGGAGTTTTTGACAACCTTTTGGCGTTACAAGTTCTCGATTTGGGTGCCTGCCAAATTTTCACGATCGAATCTGGCGCCTTTGCTTCGATGACCTCACTGAACACTCTATCTCTGCAAAATAATAACTTACAAATACTTCCCTTGCATATCTTCGACAACCTGAATCATTTGAGTAACTTTATGATTGGAAATAACGCATTGCTTTATATCGATGAGGCTTTATTTGCTAAAACGCAGATGATAATTTCGATAGATCTTGCAAGAAATCAGCTTAGCGTTTTCAATCAGACAACATTTTCCAAAATTTCAACCACACTAACTTCAATCGATCTGTCACAAAATCCCATCGAATGCTCCTGCAAATCGCAATGGTTAATCAAGTTACTGCGTGGAGCCATAGATGTTCAGAATGGTAAAGAAACAAGATGCTCATCTTCATCACCGAAACCTTTTGGAGGAGAGGCACTGGAATCCATCCAACCGAACGATCTCTGCACAGCGAATTTTCCTGTATACTTTTCAACAGGGTTCTCCGTTGTAATTGTCGTTATCGTCATCGTCATCGTGTACCACTACAGATGGCAACTGAGGTACAAACTCTTCCTTCTCCGACTCTCCATTTTGGGCTACAGAGAAATCCTGGACGAATACGATCGCGAGGATTACGACTTTGACATCTACGTCATATCGACAGAGGATGATGAGAATTGGATTCAGGACAAACTGAAACCATATTTTCAGGGATTGCCGTACTACAAGCGAAGCAGAAACGTCTTTACGGAAGATGATCTTCCCCTTGGCAGGCATCGCATGGAAACCATAGATCGCGTCTTGCAAAAAAGCTTTAAGATTCTTGTATTACTGAGTGAAACTGCCTGCGCTGATGGCTGGTTTCTGGATTGTTTCCGTATGGCAATGGATGAAGTGGCCGATACTCAGACAGAGAAAATCGTAGTGGTGTTCCTGCAGAACATTGAAGAAGATGTGATGCCATTTTATGTGAGATGGTACATGGGAGGCCAAGGGCCATATGTAGAATGGGTGGAAGATGATGATGAGGGGCAGAAATACTTTTGGAAACGTTTAGAGAAATGTCTGTCTGTAAACCGTAAACGTAACCATCTTATACCTGCAGAATAAGAGTTGCTTAGTCTATCATTCTCCTGCTTTATTCTCTCTGTCTCTTTTTTGCTCTTCCCATTTTCGTTATTATTACGTCTCAGCACTATAACCCCTTTTTTTGCGGGGGGGGGGAGGGGTGGAAGTGTGATGAAAATTCGAATAGGCCTATTGTGATTCACCTAAATAAGTTGACCTTCAGCCTAATAAATGTTTTGTCTTTGCCTAAGGCGTGGCTCATCTGAAATCTACGAAATTTGCAATTTCCTTCAATCTCATGAATACTTAAAAAATACAAAGAGCGGTAACGGAATGGCAAAAAAAACCTGTTATGCAGTTAACGTATGAAAATAACCACTGTAACGGTAAAAAGAAGGCATGTTTAGATATGACATTTTCATGGACAATAGTACAATTAAATGATATAATTGCCCAGTAGCGCATGCATTTAGGCCAATACCCAAACCGCACATACAACATAGTAAACATTATTGAGACGGCACGAGGCTTTTTTGTATATTAAAATTGACCGAACAGTTATTTATAACCAATGTTTGCAATTGTGAAATACAAAAAAGGGGAAAATGCAATTGCATAATACCTCATAACTACACCTTCCATCTACTTTAATAAATATCCTAATTCGTTAAAATGAGTATGGGTAAATCGCCCTTCCAAGCTTATTGGGTCGGCCTTTAAAACTAAGTGGTTTATTCATTTGAAATACATGTATATATAATAACAAATGGATGTATGGCATTGCTGAAGGATCTGAAAGTATCACATTGTTATGATAAGGAAAACCTCATGACAAAGAAGTGAGAGTTTGTAGGTAAGCCAGCCACCTAGGTTTTCTAACTAGTTTCTTTTAAAGGATATATTAAAACTTTCGAGATAACTTACTGGAACCTCTACATCAAAATTATTTCGGACTGGAAAAAACAATGAATGTTTAGAACTATGCCTGCGTGTTATTAAAATCTGTAATGTTTAAGTTTAATTTCATAATATAATTACATCTATATATGTTACTGTAAACTTAAGTTTACGAAGCTAAGCACTGTATACATTTCGAATTATATAATTGCATCTGATGATTTCTTTTGTAAATGTTTTGTTTGTTTAACTGTATATGTCTGTTTTTCTGCTTTTACGCTTAAACTGTATTTTTTATGAAAATAACTTCTTTTGATCGTAAGACTACAAAATAATTTGGAAACCAATGAAAACCATATGTTTTTTATTCTGTTTCAGACCCTTATGGGCCTATTCTGGTGTTCCACTTTATTCTATGTCTGCAGATGAAATGTTACGATATGCAGGAGTTGACTTGTGAATAAGCTATTCGGGCAGGTTTAATATCGACACAGGTTTTTAACATATCCAAATATGCAATGTGTACATTAAAAGAAAACAATTTAACTAACACTATTTTACGAAGGTTTCACTTCATAGAAGTCCTTGGAATTCTCTCCCCAGTACATTCCGAACCACCACAGACTTTACTTTCTTTAAATCACAACTGACATCTTACTCATTCAAAAACGTTTTCTCATGACGTTTAAACTGCATTATTGTATTTCATCAAAATTTAATTATGCATTACTGTACTTTATCATAATTTGCTTTAATTTCTCTGTAATTAATGTTGATAATTTTTACCAGGTCCAAGATGCAAAACAGATTTATTTCTGATTTTGTGTACCTGTATAAATATGTATAAATAAATAACAATGCTTTTTTTGATATTTCTTTAGTTCATTGATTAGTAGTTTTATGTAATTTTGTTGTTTTATTATTGTAAAGCGCGTTGTTATTTTCTCTGAAGATGAAATAGATAGAAACCTAGGTTATTATTACTATTGTTAAACTTAATATTTAATGACATGTGTGAAACAGATTTAAGGAAGATATATCAGACAAAGAAATAGAGCGAGTGTGTGTGGTGGTGTGTGTGAGTGTGTGTGACAGAGAGAGGGAGAGAGAGAGAGAGAGTATGGCATAAAGAAAGAAAAGTTGTGGGGGGGGGGACACTGAGTCATACGCGAGTGTAGTCATAGATTAAATCATAATGTACCAAATAGTTCCCTCCCACGTATACAATCTCTCTGGGAGGGATTTTTTTTGGAGCTCCTTGAAATGATTGACTAATCAGAAGGGACATCCGTTGTTGCAACTATATCTAGTCTGAATCAACTAGATACAAAATGAAACAGAATACCGCCACCATGTGACATTTGTCGCATGTTATTACATGAATATAGCCAACGTGTACCCATTTTTTTTTTTTTTTTTTTTTTTTTTGGGGGGGGGGGGGGGGGGGGTTACGTTCGCATAAGTTACATTCGTTCGTGAAAAGTTTGGCAAAGATTGTTCGCAGGGGAACACTGAGTAGATTTTTAGTTTTGGACATGTTCAACATTTTGGTCGTTTGGTGTACGTTTCTTCTTCGTCCGCTGTTCGTTCAATGCGTCCATATACGTCCACCCATACGCAACTTTGCCATTGCAAATGTAAAGCGTATACATAACATTTTTCCTCTTCTATTAATGAATGGCCAACGGATACACATTCTATTCCGACCTACATTGACTTTCACAAGGCGTCGAGTCTACCAATTAAGTAACGTGCGTCCACTGTACAGTTTCAGTACAGCTAGCTTATTTTAGTCTGTGACGTCACAGCAGCCGCGAGTAGGTCCTTCATCGTTTCTCGCTCATCGGAGATGGGGATGCGCAGAGACTCCGTTAATCAACATGAATATCACCTGGCTGATCCAGGGGGAGGGGGGGGGGGGGATGTCGAAACGGCCGCGGCCCCCTATAGGAAGCGCAAACAAAAAGGAAGAAAAAAAAGAGAAAACAGAGAAAAAGAGAAGAAAAGAAAAGAGAAGAGAAAAGAAAGAAGAGGAAAGAAAGAAAGAGAGAGAGAGAGGGAAAAGGAGAAAAGAAAAAGAAGAGCGAAGTCGTGTGACAGTAACGACGATTAAGGAAAAAACCTTGGGGTGGTTTTGCGGGGTGAAATGCTCTCGCATGGAAGGAGGGGGGGGGGGGGGGACGGGTGACTGACCGTTTTGTTAAATATTTTTAGGTTGTGCAAAATTGAGTCGGAATTCAGCTTATTTTCAAAAATAGTGTCTGAAAAGGTAAGTGTAAACAAACTTCTGAAAAAAATGTAGGTGTCTAAGCTTAACACCGTCCTCTCGCGTTATTGGATGTTATTTGGATGAAAACGGCATCCCAATTGAGGCATTATTTTAAATCGTATTTACTATTGAAGCATCGTATAGTGATAAGCGTTGGTTTCCAAGGATAACATCAAAGTTTTTGCCACTAAAAGTAATTAAACATGACACAAAATCTACATCAAAATTTGGCGCTGCATAATACATTATATTGTCACATATAGTTAACTTCTTACAAGCGATGCTTATTGTGACGTCTCTCTCCACGGCTGAAAGCACCATCCGACGATGGCCAGTAATATGAGTGTAGATTTAAGTACGATATAATCTGGTAATTCATATAGGTTTAGATTGGTTGCAACTTTACCCCTTAAAACTTATCTGCCATAGTTTACAGGAGGGATTAGACTGCCCTGCAAGGTCACTGGACAGGTGGTTATCTCATCAACTCAGCTCTCAGTTAACATAAGAAAAAGAGGATCATGGGGGACCAATGGTCACCGATTAGGCATTATTTGTTACATAGAGGGCGCAAGTAGCTACAAGTAGTGCAGTGGGCCTTTAAAACCGAACACAAACTGACCAATCATTGCCTATTAATAATGTATTTTTTGTTCTGTCTGTTGTCGGTCTCTGTAGTATGACTAGCTTATTACAACTCACAATGAGGAAACCGAAGAAAACCAAACGGCTCAGGTGACACACATGATCTGTAAACCTAATTAACTCAGAGGGAAAGAACAATCGCCCATTGATAAAAAATGGGCATATTCAAAGGAGATACCCATTGCCCCAAATTTTAATGAAATACAATGATACCAATACCGATAAAGATAAATGGTTCGCTATCTATTCCTATAAATATAATGAATATGTTAAAAATCTCCGCTGGCTCTTTTTTTCTTTTTTTATTCAAGTTCTTTATCATTTTATTCTTTATTTATTTTATTCAAGTCCTCTAATCCCAATTTTGTTATAGTTTATTTTAATTTGCTCTTTTAATTTAACAAAACAAAATATACCTCTTCATTCGATATCCACGTCCTTTGCTCCCCATCTCTCTCTCTCTCTCTCTATTTCTTTCACTCACATTTTCTCTATCTACCCGAGTTTCCTCACCCTCTCTTTCTCTCTATCTATCTCCCTTTCTCCCTATCTCCCGCGTTACCCCTATACGACGATCTTTCGGTCTCTGTGTCTGCTTTAGTCATTCTGTTTAACAGACAAGGCTGCCCACATCTTCAATATCAATCAGTTTTAAATCGAATGTTCAAGAAATCGACAGATAAGGAATTATTGAGAAAAAGTATAACATCTAACATCATTGATCTTTAATTTTTCCACATGAAATCAACAAATATTATGGACATCATTTTCGATTCTGAATACAGAGTGCCGTCCATTTACAAGAAATGTACTCTTTGAGTTCTATATCTATATCTGCTTTGCTGTGTGAAATATGGCCAACTAGGTGGTTTACGAGTATAAAAAAGCGTTCAATTCTAAAAACAATAATAGCTATAACTTGTCTTTAAAACCAAATAGGTAATTTTCTACAACTGTTACAACATAAACGTTACAGGGATAATAAGCACATATAAAAAGTGATTAATGGTACATAATTTGAACATCAAAAGTAAATAGGACATGAATTACAGCCTTTCTGTGACATCATAATGAGAGGATTTAGAGGTTCACATTCAAAGTTCAATGTACAATGGAGTACGTGACGCATTGGAAATCAGCTGGTGGATAAAACATTGGCATTCCACATACAGGTGTAATACAGCTGCTACGGGAGAGAAAGTCAACAGACATCGGTGAACTGGTGGCGCCACTTGGTGTGTCACGTGATGCACTGTGCTGAATGGCGCCGCTGAGAATGTCACGTGATGTTTTGTGCTTGATGGCACCGCTGGAAAAGTCACGTGATGCTCTGTGCTGAATGGCGTCACAACCAGAGGGATGGTAGCTTAATGACGTCATCGATAGACGTGAAGGTCGACAGTCACTGTAGCTCTGGGGAGAGAGTGAGCTAACAGACATCGATGGTGAAATGATGGCCGATTTCTTATAGGGAGGAGACGTCCAATCGTAGTCATAGACGTCGCAAGGCGATTTCCTTTTTCCAGTAGTTTTGTTGGAGATGGACATCGGTAATTGTACGGGGATGTTGTCTTTGCGCGTTTGACATGCTACTTTGGGAGTAGGGCTGTGACGAAGGCTTAACCGGCGGGTCTGGAACCAAACCTAGAAATGTGTCGACAAAAATGTGGTTATAAAAAAAATAATTGTCATCCTTGACCGGTTACCAATACAAATGTCAGTAAAAACAATGATAACAAGAAACTTGAGTTTTCAAAATTCGATGGAATACACAGTAAAAATTGCATTATTCAGACAAATACAAGAGACTCGTTTGTGTTTGCTTTAGCAGGTTAAATGCCATTAAAATGTATATAATATTGATAAAATGTGCTTTATTATCCTATTAGTCTAGATTACAAAATGATGTTGGTGTCACAATTAAAACTTACATGAATCAAGAGGTTACTGAGTTTGAGTGTGCGTGACAGCCGATCTCTAGTAGTGATATCAGGGCGTGAGTTGATGATGAATTCAGCTTCTAGAATCTCGGTCTGCTTCTTCGTCAGTTGAGAGCTGGATAAAGGAAGCATGGTTGTCATGGGGGTGTTCGTCATCTTGTTCGAGGGAGAAACAGGTTGAAGATAGAACTTGGAAGGATGAGAACCGGACTCGCAAATTGAAGGTATAGAAGTGATCACAGACTTGTTGAGATGGAGAATGATTGGAACAGAGTGAGTCTTCAATGGTGAGTTTCCCCAGCGGTTGACGGGGATCATCTCGTGTGGCCATGGACCTCCTTTCATCGTGTTTCAATAGACACATAACTTAATCCAAACGATCAAACGAAAGAGCAAGGGTTAATGATCGACTACGCACCGACAGGATACCATAGAATCTATTGAATAAACTCACATTCCAGTTCTTGCTGGATAACAAAAGAATTTGTCGACGTCCACAATCATTCACTATGAACATGACCGACAAAGAAAGAGGACAAAATATACAGTTCCTCAGGTAGTCAGACAAAGTAACACCCCCTTCACTGCTATTATGTAAAAATGTGTAGAACAGGTGAATATGCATGTGACACCTGTTCTTAACATTTTTACATAATAGAAGTGAAAGGACGTTCCTTTTTCTACCTGAGGAACGGTATATTTTGTCCTCTTTCTTTGTCCATCATATTCATAGTGATTCCCACTGTCCAAAAAGGCATTTTCATTTCGGAAACTAAATGGTGGCTCGATAAAGGATGAGAGAGGAGCTTGGAAAGAATGACAATACAAGGAGCAGGCCATCCATTCATTAGAGCCGGAGTTTTGTTGGTTAAGCTGCATGGTTGCTAGTCAAGCTTGTTAAAGGTCGGTGAAATCCAAATATAAGTTGATTAATATTTTGTTATCTAAAGATATTTCATAGATTATAAATATTTTTGAAAATAATTTTCTCAAACCTAAACAACGCTCCAGATTTCATTCCCCTAATGACATCATCTGTCAATCATTAGTAAGCTAACAAGATACAGTGGTATGTAGCTTCACCAGAGCTGACCACCTGTTTACAATAGACCATACAATACCAACACAGGAGTTGCTATGTCACGCGTGCTGTAGCATCACCAGGAAAATGAAGGTAATGTGGAGGTATTGTATGAAAGAATGCAATTCTTTTTTGAGCAAGTACCGAGCTTGGGGAAGTTACAGACCACTGTCTCTTGTTAGTTCACTAATGATTGACAGATGATGTCATCAGGAGAATGAGATCTGGAGCAGGTCTGAGAAAAAATTTTTTTTAAATATTTAAAAATCTATGAAATATATTTAGATGTTTGAATAACAAAATATGAGTTGTATGCAGCCGTGCATATCAACAAGAATCAACTTATAATTGGATTTCACCCCACCTTTAAGTTAAGGTATTATACTTGTATTGTTGTTGCATAAAATTCTTGTTTGCTAGCCATGTTGCCCTCATCACGCGACCCTAGCTGTCACGTTGTTGCTAAAATTGATATACAATGTATTAGCAAAATATACGAATCATTTAGCATCTGTCCTACAATGTTATTTTCCATTTTTTTAATGAATCTTTCGATCCATAGGAGTTGGATTCATGAAACATGGTCACTGAATATAATATTGATTGGCTCAGTAATACACATTCCCATTATTTTTTGAAAAAACGGGGATATGCATTAAAAAAAAAGTGAACCAACTTTTACAAGAAAATCCCCTCTCACACTAAACGTGCATCAGTATACAAATAATACACAGCAGTGAGGGCATTATCGCCTCGGGCGTGTTAGACTGTTCCAAAATTACATCGTGTGGGTAATTTTACTAATGCCCGAACAAAATGATGTGTATTATTTGTTTAATAAGATTATGTTTTAGTTGTTTTATAAGATTACGTTTTATTTGTTTTATAAAATGACGTTTTAAAACATGATTTTTATAATGATCGGTCATTACCATTGGATAATGACCGGTCATTATCCAAATTACGCGTTAGGCAAAATAAATGCCTGGTCACGTGTACATTTTTAACCAATCATTTGGTTAGGACCACGTCATCATCTTATAATACGTATCATACATGGCGCAATGGAAATTGTCTAATTCTGCAACAATTGTGATACTACTACATCGCTTCGCACAAAAAGTTAGTGAATCTTGTTCGTCTAAATTTATTCAAATTCTCCCAGAATCAGGCAATTAAAAAATATATATATAATTCACAGAATTATCTGTAAGCGGAAAAAATAGCGTTAAAGGGGGTGTAGCGTGACGAGAATACGTGTCTTTACCGTGGCCTGACTCGGGGCCAATCGGGTATAATGCGGTCGCGTCGTCCGTAATCGTATTCACGAAGTAACGTGCAACATACGCGAAACCGAAGCGTGAGAAGAATTTCCGTCAGTTTCGCGAACGCTAGCGCGCTCTGACCGTTAATCAAGTCCATACGATTACGTGCAGTAGTCCAAAAGAAGTCGTAGATGGCGTTAACGGGTATTTGCCATGTCATACTCCCTTTAACTGTCCGGTAAGTTCAGGGGCTGAAATGGGTCTGTAACCCCTTCCCATCACCCACCCACAAGAAATTTCCTAACTATTGCCTCGTATATTTGGGCAGCAGAGCGCAACATGTTTTCGATCATCATTTCCCATGTAAGGTTTCATAGAGTTGTTAGTCTGCAAATTGCTAGAGGAAGGCTTATATTAATTGAATTTCTCCAGACGCAGGAGAGAAGGGTATATAATGATGTTTTACTCCTTACTAATCTTGTATTCATTCATGCTTAATGTTATTAATTTATACATTCATTCATTCATCTGTGCTTGAGTCTGTTGAACTGTTAGATACATTGATTCACACAGTCCCTGAGTAATAACTGCAAAGCTGTTTTTAAAATGAGTTCGAATGATCATATTTGATTGGTAAAAGTTACATGGGAAGAAATTTATGAAGATTAATCGGGTATATTAGTTCTGAGAGACCGATTCCGTGGATATCTGAAGGGCACTCAGGGAATCATGCGCTTTATGTTATTGTATCAGACGTGTCAAACCAAAGCACATGCTTTATAGAATATCCTCTTTCCTTATACGCCAATGTTAATGTATGACAGGGAAATAAATGTTCTTTTGAAATGAATTGAAGTGTCTCGTTATTACTCTACGGCGTGCTTCATTACAAAATTTCCTGCACGAAAGAATTACGATTATCCGGCTTACTTCGTTCCATTGAAAACGGGTTTTCGCGTCGGTCGGGTTGTCGGGTTACACGATCTTTCGTGAAAACATAACCCCCAATTCACGAAAGGTCGGGTGTGCCATGTTGTCGGGTTACATATTTCGTGAAGACATGCCACCATATTCATGAAAGGTCGGGCAAAGTGAGGGCAAATAATCACCATTTTTTTCTAAGTTTTTTTTTGAGATTAGGATTATCTTTTTGTATTTACATTCGCAAAAACATCCGACGATGACTTATTCTTCTTCTTCTTCATTCTTCAAAACATAGACGTTTGACCTTTGACACTTGAAATGGTCCTTTTTATGCATCATCATGACTGATGAGTGAATAGAGATAGAACGTCATTGTATGCAATTATATATTTCAACGCGCACGTACAACTTTATAAAAATCTTTATCATACAAATACTGCATGCTCCGGTGTTCAGTATAACACATTATTATACATACGAGCCTTTTTTCCCAGAGAATAAAATCATGTATTTGATTCACTTACTTTGATCGAGTTCACTATCGTTAGCATATTGCTTTTACTCCACCGATGGAAAATCAGTTGCGCGCGCGCATGAGCAAGAGCTGCACGTACATGGAGGCTTCAATCGCTGCAATGTGACAATAAACTATTATTATAGGTAACTTTGAACAAAAGAAACTGTTTATAATATAAAATGCGTTGCTAGTATTGCGTTTAAACACCAATTTTTATTTTAAAAATGGGATCACCTTTTATGTTGACTTTCAGAATGTTGCTTTAAAACTAGTGGAGACACTGTTGAATTGGAAAATTGCCATGGAACTTTTTGTTTTCTGTAGTGCATCATCAGTGGAATTTGGTAATTGAATTGATCTACTCAATCATTTAAATTTCACTGTACTCGATTTGTGTGTATCATAATGATAATATTGTCTTTCTTTCGTGGTATATCAGATATATATAACTAGTAGGTACAACCAGAAAGGCGTTGACATTTATATTCACTGCTGATCGGCATAGTAATTTATTGGTGTTTCGAAAATTAATTAGGATAAACACAACCTAGAGAAAACAGGCCCTAACCATCTTATGTTTAGAAAAAGGATTAAATAATGAATTATTGCACGATAGGCTACTATTGGTAATACATCACTAATATCGTATGACAAGAAAACAAAGTCTGAATATTAACATAATACAAAAGCCAATATATACAACGTATGCCATTATAGCCTATAAATATTTCTAATCTCCAAAGATCTTCAATTAAATGTATTTCGAGAGTGAAACGTAACAAATAAATTATAACATACAATAAATAAAGTCGATCAAACCCTCTGCAGTTAATACTACATTAAACCGCTTACAGAACAACTTGATCGAATTCAAATAAAATCAGCTGTTTGTTTGGTCTGAGCATATTCTTCTTGATATACCCAGCTTCGTAAATTGTAATTGTTATCATATGTTGAAAGAAAACTTTAGGTTAAATACTAGAAAATGTCTATGTTATAACTAGGTCATCGATCGACATTTCCTCAGATCCTGCCACAATAGTCCCGGGCTTTATTTAGTAAAAGGTATAGCGTTAGGGATAGGGTTCCGACTATATTTAGGTCAGGTTAGGTTAGGTTTAGTTTAGGTTAGGTTTAGGTTAGGTTAGGTTTAAGTTAGGTTAACCCACTGACTACCGAATTGTCATATTCCTCATATATTATTATGTTTAATGCAGGAACCACCCGGTTCCAGCAGGCAATGGGTTAAGAGCTAGGGTTAGGGTTATGAGTTATGAGTAGTTATAGTTGTCACGTAAACAATGTTTCGTACAACCGTCTGAGTCATGAATACATTCGTGTCAAGCCACTTCAATGTTTCATATATCCATCAATCTATATTAAAGTACCTTAAGATCGAAACCATAAGATGCTATGAAACTCGTGATATAATTGAGAGGTTTTGAAATTTGTAAGTCAGACGGTTGACTTTGCAATTGGTATCATTATACAATGTACCTTAATCCTTCCCACAACGTCCTATAGCCACCGCTCAATTTGTTAACTAGTAAAAAAAAACGTATCATTTAGAAATATACGAATAAGTTCCTTTTTTATTATCGTCGTGAGAAT